AAAAAAAAAAAAAAAAAAAAAAAAAAAAAAAAAAAAAAAAAAAAAAAAGGAGAGGGAAAATATCAGAACAAGGTATTTGCAACATTTTCCAGCAACGTCACCTGGAGAGGGACTTTTCATGAGGGTCTGGAGTGACAAGGCTTCAAACTGACAAAGGAATAGGGCTAGATGGGATATTGAGAGGAAATTCTGTACTGGGAGGGTGGGCAGGCCCTGGCACAGGTTGCCCAGAGAAGCTGTGGTTGCCCCTGGATCCCTGGAAGTGTCCAAGGCCGGGTTGGACGGGGCTTGGAGCAACCTGGGCTGGTGGAAGGTGTCCCTGCCCATGGCAGGGAGTTGGAACTGGATGATGTTTAAAGCCTCTTCCAACTCAAACCATTCCATAATTCTGTGAACACAGGGATTAAATAAAATCCTCCACCCTGGGAAGGTGCAAAACTCAGCTCTAACACCACAGGTCAGCCCCTCTCCCTTTCTTCATAATTCCTGCAGCTCCATCACGAGCTCACAGAGGCTGCAGGAATTAACCTCAAGAGGTTAATCAACCTTCCTGCACGCCTGGTTTTGGTTTTGAAAGGTTCTTATGGCAGAAATGAAACTCCTGACCAAGTAGATCAAAACCTGCTCAGTGATAACTCAGCAAAGGCTGGAATGAACACAGGCAGGGAGAGAGCAATGAAACAGGAGCACCACACAGGGACATGGAAGCTTTCATTTCCAGCTGGAGACCCCAGACCGAATTTTGGGCTGATGTTGTACACGAGTGAAGCTCCACTCACCCCAGAAATGGGGACACCACTGTTCTCTGTGCACCCCTGAGTCCTTTGCTTGCTGAGCTCTAACTCCAGGCTGAACTGTGAAGTAAAATTCCCATGTAATGATTGAAAACAGGTCATTTTTAGGGGATATCCCACACAAAAGTGGCAGCAGGAAACTGCTGAACCTCAAAATCACTTCACACTGTGACTGTCAGAGAGATGGAGTCAGACATGGGCAATAATTCCTGTCCCCCTCATTTCATTTAGAGCCCCTTTTTTTTGTTACAGAAATGGAATTTGGAAAGAAATTGTTGTAGAAAAGATTGCCTTGAGTAAACTGAAAGAGGCTGTCACCACTACTACTCAGTGGGCTGACCTAGAGTTGAAAAATCACTGTATTTCAGCCCAAACATGTATTTGATATTGTGATCCTGAGGCTCCCCTTTTCCCCCTGACTCTTTTAAAGCACTTTATTTTTTGATGGCTCCCATCACAAAGGGAAATGCTGAGTGGTGAGAGTGCAGGACACGACATATGATTGCGTAACCTGCCTCGAAATCTTGAATTAAGTGCACTGTGAGGAAGTGCCTCAAGTGACTCTGGGCCGCCACATCAAACCCTGTAAGACACAAGCAGCAGACAGGATGAACAAACCAGAACCTCAAAATAAAAGCAGTCACTCGTTGCTGGTATCAGATACAAGGAGCTAATCCCAGCACTGGCAGCAGGACCATTTGAAAGCCAAGCAATAGAAGTGTTGCTGAGTTAGCTTGGCTGCCTCAAAAAAAAAAAAAACCAAAACACATATCCCCAGAATTTAAGTTTGCCTCCTTTGATGTAACAAGGACCAAAATTCAACTTCCCCCTCACACTGCAGAGTTCTGACCCCAGGAATGGGGGCATGGGGAGTGAAGGGAACAGGATCCACCCTGGTGTGTGTCTTCCACGGAGAAGTGGTGACTCTTCTGCTGGTGGTTAAAACCAACCAACTGAACATTAAACGTCATAAAAAACCCCTCACTGCTGCTCAGTAAAAATGCCTGGAGTCTAAAGGAGTGAGACAGCAGTTAAGGGCAACCCCCAGAGGTCCCATCAGCCCAACTAAAATGCAGTTTGCAGTGAGGGGAGTGGTGGGAGAACAAACCCCGGCGCCGCAGCCCGATCCTGCTGCTGCCACCCCATCCTGCCGGGACAGACAGGGTGGGGACCCTCAGAGCCACCACCCTGGGATGGGCAGGGAGCAAGTGGCATCCCTGCCCAGTGGGATCATCCGCCCGCTGCCCTGGCTTCACAGAACCATGGAATCATTTTGGTTGGCAAAGCCCTCCCAGCCCATGGATCCCCCTGTGCCCCATCCCCACCTTGTCCCCCAGCCCAGAGCACTGAGTGCCACGGCCAGGCCTGCCTTGGACACCTGCAGGGCTGGGCACTCCAAACCTTCCTGGGCAGCCCCTGCCAAGGCCTCACCACCCTTTCCAGCAACAAATTCCTCCTCCTGGCCAACCTGAGCCTCCCCTGGCACAGCTGGAGGCCGTTCCCTCTCCTCCTGTCCCTGTTCCCTGGGAGCAGAGCCCGACCCCCCCCAGCTCCCCCCTCCTGGCAGGGACTTGCAGAGCCAGAAGGTCCCCCCTGAGCCTCCTTTTCTCCAGGCTGAGCTCCCCCACTCCCTCAGCCCCTCCTGCTGCTCCAGCCCCTTCCCAGCTCCCTTCCCTTCCCTGCACACGCTCCAGCCCCTCAGGGTCTCTTCCAGGAGGTTCCAGAACTGGACACAGCCCTGGAGGTCCCTCAGCAATGCCAGCACAGGGGACAATCCCTGCCCTGGGCTGTGCCCACACTATTCCTGATCCAAACCAGGTGCCATTGGCCTCTTGCCCCCCTGGGCACAGCTGGACTCATGTCCAGCCACTGTCACAGCACCCCCAGGGCCTTTCCTGATCCTTTCCAGCCCCTTGGAAACTGGTATTCAATAAACACAGTTCTGCTGAAGTTTTCTTAATCACACAGCTGATAATGTGCAAGAATCAAAAGAAAATCATCACATTCCCTCCATGTACTCCTGTTTTGTTGACATCGTGGTTTTGCCTCTCAAATTCATGTTTCCTGATATTTTTCCTGCTGGGCTGGGTTTTCCCTTCCACTCCTGAGCATTAATATTTTAATGTAGTGCTTCTCCCAGCTGTCAGTCTGAGATGAAGCAGGTTCTCCAGGTCACAGGTCCCTGCCATGCTGAGGTGTTTCTTCACCCAGAGGACACTCTGAGATTGGAAGAGCTGCCTCTGAACAAAACACAGCATGTTTTTCTTTGCCCTGTAGAGTGAAGTTCAGCAGAGCTGTGAAGGGAATGTGGCAAAGAAATTAGTCCCAGTTATCCCAGCTCAACATCAGCCACCATCACACATCCTTCAGGAATCTGCTGATGAGTTTGTGCATTGGCCACCAGCCCAACCCTCAAATCATTGCAGCTGAAAAAGTGACTCCTGCCTTTAGAGGAGCCGAGTTTCGGGACAGCAGGCTCAGGGGTGGGTTCCAGCAGAGAAAAGCTGCTGTGTAAATTCCTGTTGCTCTGGGCAAAGGCTGAGCCTGGCGGTGGTGGGACCCAGAGGATGGCACGGACATTCTTGGTAAACCACCTGAGAGACTGCTCAGCAGGTGAGTTAGTGAAATGCAGGAAGAAGGATTGCACTGGATATAGAAATGTTAATCTTTGCTGTTATTATGCACATGCACAGAAGGAAAGGGCATCAGAGAAGTTTTACACTCTAAAACTGCTTTCTAAGCTCAAACTCACACGATGCCAAACCCGATTTCTTTCCTGGCACTTCTTTCATACATTTCTCTTCTTTAGGATGAAAAAAAAAAAAAATTAAATCATTAAAGATTTGGGCAAGCAGTGGGTCCTCATTACAGCACTTGTTCCCTTCTCTGTTCCAGGGATGACCTGCCAAGCCCGGAGCTCGTACATCACGAGCGAGATCCTCTGGGGTTATCGCTTCACCCCCGTCCTCACGCTGGAGGACGGCTTTTATGAGGTCGACTACAACAGCTTTCACGAAACCTACGAGACCAACACCCCAGTTTACAGTGCCAAAGAGCTGGCAGAGATGGCCAGCCGAGCAGAACTGCCCCTCACGTGGTCTGTTTCCAGCAAGCTGGACCAGCACGCCGAGCTGGAGGCAGAGGAGGAGGAGAAGAATCAGGAAGACCAAAACGAAAGAAACGGCGACGTGGCCAACTTGGAGAACGAGTCCAAAGTGTAGGGGCAACAGAGGCACAAAAGGCCACTCCACCCTCTTGTTCTTCTCCCTCTTGGCTCCCAGTTTCTTCCTGCCTTTAATTCTCAGTTTTCCTTCCGATGATTCTCAGTTCCTGGAAAATAAATACTCAAGATGCGAAATCATCTACCTGCCCAGTTCCAGCTCCGGAGATGCACAGACTCCAGGGCGTGGGGTAAAGCTGCAGTACCCGCTGGGAATGCTGGAATCTCCATCCCCACCCTGGCAGTGACTGCTGGGTCAAGACCTCCAGGTTTATTCACCACGAAAAGAGAAAAAAAAGCCACCCAAATGCAGCAGAAACATAAACAAGGGATGGAAAAGGAAAGACTGATTCGTCCAAGAGGACCTTGACTCTGGTTTTTATGTATTTCAGGACGCTTTCACAGGCTGGGGGGACAGACAAACCTCTGTGAAATGGGCCCCGCAGCTTTAAGGGGGAAGGTGAGCAGAGGGCCCTGCAATCCAACAAAACCACTGTACATACGCCTTATGTAACTACTTTCTCTTTACATTTAGTAATAAACGCCGCATGTACAAAAGTACTGTAGTAAAGAACTTCTAAATAATGTACACACAGACGTTGTAATCAAACGTAGGCTTAGAAACCAGGCTCCTAGGAAACACCGGGATGCAAAGTACCAGCTCCCCATCGAGTAG